ACATAAATACAGCTGTCCAAATATAATGGATACTTAAGCAATATTTCTGAAGTTTATTCTTCCATGTCAATAACGGCTGTAAAAATTAATATATACTAATCTAAGAATCAGTTCCACTGAAATGAAAAACAAAACACTACTTTATTTTTAAGGATATATTGCATATGTATGTAATATGGTAATACAAAACAAAATACAGAAAATTATTATCCTTCCATTCATTATTTTTAGTCCATCACTGTGGAAAATGTGGAAGACCCAGTTAATGAGGAAGGCTATCTATGAAATATTACCCAACTTGGCAACTTTCAGAAGTGTTGGGAGTGCAGTGCCTAAAGTTGCAAGTATCTCTACTTCCGTAGATTCTCTACTTTAAAAGATCTCAAATTTTTGCAAGTCTTCTGCTCAGGTATGAACATCTATAAAGCAAGCATGAACCATGATGGTGCAGTGGTTAGAATTCAGTACTGCAGGCTACTTCTGTTGACTGCTGGCTGCAAGAAATTTGACAGTTTATTCTCACCAGCTCAAGGTTGATTTAGCCTTCCATCCTTCCGAAGTTAGTAAAATGAGGACCCAGATTGTTGGGGGCAATATACTGACTCTGCAAACTGCTTAAAGAGGGCTGTAAAGCACTGCAAAGTGGTATATAAGTCTAAGTGCTATTGTTATATCTTGTTGATCACTCTCACATAACTCTAAGCTTAGCACAGGCAAAATCGCCATCGCCACTAGTACTACCATCAACAGTAGCAGTTATTTCTTTGACTTCATTGACTTGTAGATTACAAAAAATATAAAATGTTGCTTTCTTAGTAAATGATTGTGCAGAACAGAATCCAAACATTTTGGAACTTGAGATCGACAAGGGATAGAGAGATGTTCTTTTGTATTATTTGAAAGGTATAGAAATCTGGAATAGACCCATTGAAATTATGGATGCGGTAGGGTGAGGAGCAATCCCTTTACTCCTCTGGAGGACCTGAAGAGGAGTAAAAGGAGAGGGGGAAAAACAGAACCTTCCTCTGGAATTGGTTCTGGTGGTATTCAAAAAGTGGAGCCAATACTACACTTTTTCACACAATGAAATGCACAGATATTTAACTGAGAATTAGAGTTTTAAAATCAGAATTAAATCAGAGTTCAACAAATGTTTTGTAAGAATTAATAGTATCCTTTTGTTATTACTAACAAAACCATGTCATGACTGTTCGACTGTACTGAGTTAAATACAGTATACTGAGGAAAATTAGAGTCATTTTTAATTAGTCTTTTAGAATATGGATGTAACAGCAAATGGGATATATTATTATGGTAGGTTACACTCTCCTCTATATCATCATCTGTTCACAACAATGTGAAGTCACAATTGCTGGTTCTTTAGCTACTGTTGGCTTTCATATGCATTGAGTTCTTCTCAAGAATCTAGGATGTCATAACGTATCAGTATAGTATATGTGTAGATCCAATAGTGTGGTCACTTACAGGTAGTCCTCAACTTACAATACAACAGTTCATTTAATGACCATTCAAAGTTACAACGGCACTGAAAAAAATGACTTATGTCCAGTTTTCACACTTACGACTGTAATAACATCCCCACAATCACATGATCAAAATTCAGATGATTGGCAATTGACTCATAATTATGATGGTTGCAGTGGGGTCACATGATCCCCTCTTGCAACCTCCTGGACAAACAAAATCAATGGGGAAGCCAGATTCACTTAACAACAGCTTGACTAATCTAATTACATGGATTCACTTAACAATTGTGCCAAGAAAGGTCATAAAATGGGGCAAACTCATTTAACAAAAGTTTCACATAGCAACAGAAAGTTTGGACTCAATTGTGGTTATAAGTCAAGGACTGCCTGTATTTATTTATGTTTCATAATTCTAATCTTCCCATTTACCTCAAGGAGTAGCTCTGGATGGTGTTAATTGACAGATGGAAATGTTGTCAATGCACATATTTTCTAAGTGCCTTCCAGGTTTTTTTGATATGGCACTCATTATGTTGATAATCACTAGAATCACCATAGCCAGAATATTCAAACATTCACTTTAAATAACTGTGCTTTGATGGTTCTGATTCATAATAGCAAGTCATAATGGTGCAATTTTCACATACAGTATATTTTTGTCCACCATTGTTCAAAAAAAAAAAATTCAAAAAAGCTAAACCCTGGTTGCACAGCCCTAGCTAAGTCCTTTTCCCCATTTGTCAATAGATGCCCAGGAACTCTAACATATAACATGGCCCTTGCTGACCCCAGCAAGGACTGATTCCAGTGGTAGGATTTTTTTTTACTACCGGTTCTGTGGGGCGTGGCTTGGTGGGCGTGGCAGGGAAAGGATACTGTAAAATCTCCAGTCAGAGGTGGAATTTGCCAGTTTTCTGAACTACTCAAACTATCTACTTCCAGTTCTTCAGAACTGGTTAGAATCTGCTGAATACCACCTCTGACTGATTTCTTGTTATTTTCCTGGTTTTTCACCATTTTAAATGGGTTGGTAGATAGACTTAGTCGGGCTCATCCACTAATATCTTTCTTGCATAGATGACTCTTGGGGTAGCATAACTTTCAACCTCATTAGAGCATTGAAAGCTCCTCTTCCATGACAAGGGAGTATTATATTATATTATATTATATTATATTATATTATATTATATTATATTATATTATATTAATTATATTATATTATGACAAGGTGGTATTATATTATTTTGAAAGATCTGAACTTTGCAATAAGAAGTCTACATTAAGCATGATGGGGAGAGAATAAATATTCAACTTATAAATAAAGCACAGATGCATATATGTTTTACTAGTTACATAATGATTAAAGATAAATAATGGAAGGTAAATGTCCCAGAAGCATTTTTATCTTTTGTTGACAATCAGTTAAAAAAAAAATCCTATTCCAGTTTATATTCAGAGATTTTGGAAATTATACAGCATTTATAGCAGTTCATACAAACAAAAAAATGAACTCTTTCACCTTAAAAAGAATATTGGACACTGTTTATTCATGGTTGGCTAATACAATAATAATTTAAAAAGCCTCAAATTCATATGCTGAACTTTTTATGTATCACATTTTCTATGCAGCATGTATTCATTTGTGTAATATTGCCTTTTGGAATCTTGATGATAGCAACTGTCTCTGCACCTCACATATATGCCAAGTTGGGAAAGCTAAGTACTCAGTTCCAAAAATAATTGGCCACTGAAAATCATTATCATTCCATGATGCCACTATGAAATTAAAGGCTCTCTAAAAAGTCCTGCTGGTTGAATTAGATGAGGAATATCAAGAACAGCAAAAAGTACCTTTTTTCCCATGGGTCACCTAATCCTTTACTGCTGTTGAGCTTGTCTAAAAATGCAATGTTGGTTTAACTTTAAATAAAGAAGCTGTTGCTTCAAAGAAGCAGGAAATGATTTCTTGAGAAGAATAATCATTGAGAAATTTCTCAGTGGGATTTTACACAAATGTATATTGTTTATTTTTCTATAGCATGGCAAGTTATGCTAGTAATAGTTACCAACTCTTTTTACTTATGGTTAATTTGGAATCCCTGCCTGGGGAAAAATCTGAGGGATTTTAAGGAAAGTTCAAAAGTGTCCATTGCTAATTGTAATTTGATCTGGATATCTGAAAACACCAGAATAATTGTTCCTCTAAAATATACCTCTATTGTAATCTCCAGAGTGATTTTCTATCACACACTATCCTAAAAACAAAAATAAAACAACCATAGCAGTTAGTGGTAACACTTTAAAATTTAGTTCAAGCAGTCCCCCCACCCACCCCACCCCAACTTCAAAAATGTAAGAAATTAAAAGCCAGGAAAAATACAGATGAAATATCTTTCCTTAGCTCTTTCAAGAAATCAGCGTAGATGATGAATGACTTCTAAAAAAAAAAAAAGATTGATGGGCAGCAAGAGACATGCTGAAGTGTCTCTGCACAATTTGTTTTAGATGAAGTGATAGGAGCTGAGTTTTTCTTCATTTTAGCCCTTGATTGTATGCCAGTTCTTAACAAAAATTAGTTTCATGTATGCATATATCCTTGCTGCTTAACTCTTGAAAGTTTAAATAATTGAAGCGGAAAGTTGAAAGGGAGAAAAATGAATCCAGGGTTTTGAATTTAAAGCTCTTTTTATTCCATGCATTAAATAATCCAATTGCTCTTTTTGTATAATGGAGAACAAGGAAGGCAGCAAAATCACAGATGACAATTTAGCAACCTTGATTGTCTAAAAAGAAAATGACTGGGCAAACTAGAGATACTATAAACACTGGGTTTTCTCTTTGATTTTCCAGTGCTTAAACTGAAATGAATGCATCCTATTGGCTAACTAATACAGTTTGTTTACAAATGGGTTTGAATGTCTTTGGGTAGATATCCAATTGCTATAAAGTCATTTTCACAAGTTCTTGTCCTCTTGTGCCATGGAGTGGAATAAAAAGTCTTCTCCATTTCAATGGTGATTTTTGTATCAGTTGAATTTTAGGAAGAACTTCTGTCCATCAGAAATAACTTTCACTGGAATCCAATTTTTATACATTTCTAGGCATATTCTGATTCATTTATTTTTAAAAGTTATAGGTTAAGCTGAGAAATCTGATCCAGCATTCAAATTATCACTTGGAATGTTGATGGTTATCATACGTGAATATTTGAAGTGCCTTACACCAGTTGTAAGTATTGGGGCTGTAACAATACTGGCCAATTTGTTTGGACATTCAGAGGGTTGTAGATTAAACATGTTCGAAGAAGGGTGTTTTAGAAGAACAACATTACCTTCTGTACTTATGCTTGATTCCTCCCCCCCTGGAGATTCTAGGAAATTTGCTTTTCCATGACCCCGCTCTCTGCCATCTTCTTTTTGTCTAATATAACAGTGGTCCCCAACCTTTTTTGTGCCATGGACTGGTACAATCCACGGACTGATCCATGGACTGATACCGGCATCAGCATGCACGACCAAGGCAAGGTGAGCCGAGCGACTGGCCAGCCAGCCGACCCCCGCTTCTCCCCGTCACCTTCAACTTCTCCTTTGTCCCTTCTCATGGTCAATGGGCTTTTCGGGCTCTTTCTTAATCTCCTCCTGGGTAACACGAGACTCCACTGCAATCAGGATGGCTCTTCGTTCAAACCCGCCCCCCCCCTTTGATGAAACTAAGGCGTGAAGATTCCTTCAGCACCCAAATGCCACTTTCCAACCGATGACTGACAAGCTCACCCAGAAGCACTTTCTCAAGTGCCGTCAAAACAAGATGGCGGTGCCCAAGCAAAATAGGTGGCCTGGTACAAAATGATCCATGGACCGGTACCAGTCCGGGGCCCAGTGATTGGGGACCACTGCACTATAACTTCTGAAACTATGTACTTTGTGATTTTCCTTGACCATTCTATTTTGATTAATTCAAGAAACAGATTTAACACAAACATCACGTCAGCTTTACCATTTGCACTCCTTATCAAGCACTAAAGGAATCTAGAACCACTGTAAGTGGATTGACCAAAGCTCACCCAAATGTGTAAAGGTAGTCTTTGACTTACTATAATTTGTTTAGTGCCCATTTAAAGTTAGAATGACACTGAAAAAAGTGACTGCTGACCATTTCTTCACCTTTACAATCATTGCTGCATCCCCATGGTTATGTGATCAAAATTCAGATAACTGGTTCATATTTCTGATAGTTGCAGTGTCCTAGAGTCACATGATCACCTTTTGTGGACTTCTGACAAGTAAATTCAATGGAGGAAGCCAGGTTCACTTAACAACCACGATACTATCTATTTTGCAGTAATTAACTTAGCAAGTAAGGTCATAAAATTGGGCAATGCTCACATAACAGCTGTCTTGCTTAGTAAGAAAAATGTTGGGCTCAATTATGAGTTAAGGATTATCTGTAATTGATACTAAACAGCTTCCTTCATTTCAACAATTTTATACACCACTCTCATGAGAGAACAAGAATTAAAACTATACAGTCTGTCCTTGTTGGCAACTGCAATTCAATCCAGAAAAATGGCCACCAAGTGAAATGGTTGCTAAACAAACATGTGACAGAAAGAGGGAGACTGCAAAGAACATTGGTTGATGCCATCCCTTTTAGACAAAGTTTTCTCATATAGCTGTGCCAATGTTACTGCCACTCTGGCATGCCTCAGGTGCTTGAAATGAGTGCATTGATCAGGAAATGATTTGTTTTATGACCATTTATTATTATTTATAACCACTGTAATTATGAATAGTTACTATCCAAAATAGTGCTAAACAAAGAAAAAATTCTGACAAAAATTTTCTGTTTTTGCCCTGGGGAAGACCTATGCAGTTCTTCAAATTCTACTTCTGTGAATACTTTATTTTATATTATATATCAACATTGATCTGCCTGCCTCTCTTCTCTTATTTCTCATTTCTGGATGTTGTTCTTTCTGTGCATTCTTCTCTGACAGCCTCTTTTTTTTCATTGGACTTGATTTGTAATATCAATCATGAGTTCATTGTTTTTGGTCTTTGTATATTTGCAATAGGTAACAGTTTTTCTTCCAGTGGTCCCAAAGGTGCTTTTCAAAAGGTAAGTAGACTTTCTTGTCCAATTGCCTTTTGAAAAGCATATTTGGGACAACCATGACCTGGATGATTGAACATCTCCATAGACATTTTCTTCCAAATGCTGGCCCTATTTGCTTCATCAACAATCCTGTAGCCCAGTGGTCCCCAACCTTTTTTGTACCACAGACAAGTACAATCCACAAACCGATCCACGGACTGGTATCGGCATCAGCACACACGACCAAGGCAAGGTGAGCTGAATGACCGGCCAGCCAGCCATCCCCCGCTTCTCCCTGCCACCTTCAACTCCTCCTTTGTACCTTCTTGTGGTCGATGGGCTTTTCGGGCTCTTTCTTAACCTCCTCCTGAGTAACGCGAGACTCCACCGCCATCGGGAAGGCTCTTCGTTCGAAGCCACCGCCCCCTTTGACAAAAATAAAGCGTGAGGATTCCTTCAGCACCCAAACGCCGCTTTCCAACCGACGACTGACAAGCTCACCTGGAAGCACTTTCTCAAGCGCCGTCGAAACAAGATGGTAGTGCCCAAGCAAAATAGGTGGCCCTGTACAAAATGATCCATGGACCGGTACCGGTCCGGGGCCCGGTGGTTGGGGACCACTGCTGTAGCCCTCTTGTTACTAGATGTCCAGGGATTCCAATATCTATCACAGCTCTTATTTAATGCAGTACTGTTCCAGACTGATCCAGGTTAGATTACATCTAATCTTTAAATTACATCTCACCATATTGTTTATGGGAGAGACACTCTTCATCTGGCTCCTTTGATGAGACCTGTCTAATATGGTTGAGTATCTGGTATACCTCTCAGCATGCAAGCCCCATAATCACATCGAAGTAGTACCCTCACTAGGAGTGGGATAAATTATTATTATTTTCCCACTGGCTAATCTCTAATTTGACTGAACCTGACAGTTTCAACACTTTAAATTCCATTAAAATGAATAGGATTCACCAATGAATTCCCTCTATAGTACCTTTCAAAAGAACATAGATTGCAGACAGCTTAAACTGAAATGATGCCATCTGTGTGTTTCAGCACAGCTCCATCTCTGGGGAACAGGTCATCAGCAAAGGAGGAATAAAAGAACAATTTGTTAAAGGCCTAATTATTCTGGAATATCAGGCCAGGATGATTAGCCCAATATAACTAATCAAGGTGGAAGGAGGATACATTTGAAAAAAGGTGTTCATTTTAAAGCATTCACAAATTTCTCACACAATACAAATAGCCTTTTTCCAGACTATACTAAAACATGAGTGCTTATCAAATGCTCACTGTTTCAGAACTCAAAATTATTTTTTGAATATCACAAAGAAGGAGATTCAAAAGTGCTTTGACAAAAGACAACTGGACTTTCTTGGTTATTTCCTTAAAAACATTTTGCTTCTCATCCAAGAAGCTTCTTCAGTTGGATGAGTGGCAAAAAGTTTTCAAGGGGAAAATAAAGTCCAGTTGTCTTTTGTAAAAGCATCTTTGGGACAACAGTGACTTGGATGATTGAGAATCTCTATAGTCAAAGAAAAGGAGAGTTTAAGGCAAAATTTACTGAGAGACAAAATGTTCATGCTTAATAACATTATAACTGTTATAACTTAATAACTGTTATTAAGGAGGTAACCCTTAACAGTAACATAGACATCTTTGAGTTGTCAAAATTTGGATTTGTGGAACACCAACAAACATTTAGCTCAAGTAAGGTGCATTAACCATTTCCTCAGAATATCAAGATTCATTCCCAATTCTGAAGACCTCTATGCATTGTGTCTTAGATTTTGAGCTTCTCGATTATCTAAAATGTTTCTTGAATGATGGTATTGTTGTTGTTGTTCCCCTCACTACATTATCAAAAATTCTCAGACATGAAATGAAGGAAAAGTGTGGGATTCTCTCTCCTGTTCTTTTTTAGCCTATGCTGCTACTGACTGTGGGCTAAGAAAGAAGGGGGTTGGATTATGCTCCTTGACTCTCTTGTCTATCGACAAAAGTGTGCTTCTATATGTGTGTGCCATATGCTTGAATTCTAACAACATAAGCTCAACAATAAACAAAAGGATTTCCTCTAATAAAAGAAAATATTTGTAGCTCAGAAATGATGGATCCTTGGTGCTCTCTTTCATTACCCAAACATCATCAGAGCTAGTCAACTTACACTGATGATGTTACCTAGTTTGCAAAGAAACATTTGCAAAAAACAAAACAAAACAGACAAGCAAGCTCAGAGAGCACCAAACATTTCCTTCATTTGGCAGAATAGAAGCAGCAGAAGCAGAGTGAGGAAACAATTAGGTATAAAAGCAACTGTAGCAGGATCCCTACTTCAAAATAGTTGCAACATATATATAAAGTCATTTCATTGACATTATTTTGTTCTGAGTAATTTAGATTTAAGAAAGAAAATAAACATTAAAATATTTTCTTCCAGCAGTAACATAATTATTATCTTTTTATTTCCAAATAACTAACCTAATGTAAGTCTAGTGAATATGTTTTAAATGTGATTAGGGAGTCAGTTTGGTGTAGTATTTAAGGTATGAGGCTAAAAAATGGGAACACCATGACTTCCAGTCCTACCTGGACATAAAGCCAATTGGATGATCTTGGACCAGTCATTTAAGGCAAAGGCAAAACACTTCGGACCAGGTCCTCTTTCTTCGCATAATTTTATGTTGCTTGAGAGCTGATAAAATCAATATAATTTTATAGGCAAAATCCCCCTGAAATAAAATTATGAAACTTAGATTTTATTCATCTGAGGTGTACTCAATCTCAATCACTATTGGGGTGAGGTTGTTCCTTTATATCCTGACAAATGCCTACACAGGTCTTGCAGTTTTCTTTTCCAAAATTGGTCCAAAGTGATTTGTCTTTGCCTTGACTGGTCCAAGGTCACCCAATTGACTTTATGTCCAGGTAGGACTGGAAGTCATGGTGTTCCCATTTTTAGCCTCACACCTTAAACACTACACCAAACTGGCTTCCTAATCACATTTAAAATATATATTCACTATACTTCACCCTACTTACATTAGGTTAGTTATTTGGAAATAAAAAGATAATAAAATATGTTAACGCTGGTAGAAAATATTTGAATGCTTATTTTCTTTCCTAAATCTAAATTACTCAGAACAAAATAATGTCAGTTAAATGACTTCCAACTAGATTCTTCTTACCTTCTATTCCTAATGCAGTGAGAGAAGACCAAGTTGCATTCATTGTCAATACTATTACAAGCCCAGCCTAGCTGGTTCTCCCATTAAAAGTAACAAAAACCACAGAAACACTGCTCTTCTTAAAATTTTAATTGCATAGGATCCAATATTATGCCAGGAACTATACACAGAGGCATATTTTTCCTCTCTTCAATCATTTTGCAAAATGTTAGCAAGCTGTTGAAATGATCTTCATT